GACAACTGCCAGGAAGGAATGGCAAGTTTTTTTTATTTTAATGTGTTCTAAAGTTTCTCTGGGCAGACAAAAAATTTGCTTTGAAGTATGTTGGGTGAAAATATATATATATATATTATGTGTAACAGTATATTGCAAGGCCCATTCTTTGTAGGGTAGTAAGTGTCTGGGTACCGGCTTATAGTAAAACTTTTTTACATTTTGTTTACTGTATACTGATGACTTTTTTTCTTCTCTTGCTCAATTCCACCCATGAGTCTGTGTTTTGCATGCCAGCTTGACGACAGACCACAAAAGACATGTGGGTCAGTTTTTGAGACTTATAAGTCACTGGTGAGGCACAAAACAGCACCCCCTACTGTGCCTGGTCAGTTTTTCCACAGGTCAAAAAATATTCCCAAGCCGCAGCTATTTTTTTCTGTCTAAAACTGACTTTGCATGAAGTATAAACATGTTCAACTTGCAGCATGGAGGAAAGCTGTAAAAATGTGTCAAGTCATCAGTATAAAACACTTTCTCACTTCCAACTCATCAAATACTGCAGTTTACGTTTCAAACTATGACATCATTCTTGCGTCAGTTGTGGACATGCCAGTTTCCGTTCATTACATGCATAGAGTCTCTTTTCAAAATGAACTTCCAATATAGATTTACTTTTTTTTAGGTTTACTTATGCAACAACACTACCTGGTTATGTTTAATCAACAAAACCACTCACTTAGGTTCAGGAAAAGATCATGGTTTGGGTTTAAATAAGTATGTTTGTTACCTAAAATAACTTTTAATGACCCTCAGTCTACATAAGTTACACTTGGTTTCACACAGGACGCGGTCTCCTGGGTGAAAGTCCTGTGTTTGTTTGACAAATTCATCCTCCTCTTCCACCCGCCCTGCGCAGACTTTCTTGCTCTTTTTACTACATCAGTTGCTCTGACCATCTAATAATGATGCAGATTGGTTACAATGGAGTTAGTTGAAAGCCCAGTACGTCTCATATGGACGCTGTATTAGAAGCCAAGGGGCACCAAGCTGTGGTATTTGATGAATTGGGAGTGAAAACAGGTTGCAATATGCCATAACCACATTCCTGAAGGAGCATAGTCACCTCCATATCTCCGAAATCACTCCTTATCCTCACAAAATCGTCTTTCCTCTGTGACCTAGAAATGCCTCGTTACTCCCACCATGTTCCTTGCTGTCTTCACAGTTTAGTAGAAGACATGTGATATTCTTTAGGCAGTGGGCTTGAAGCTCATGTTCCTTCCTCGCAGGAAACCTTATCTATTAATAGTGTGCTTGCCTTGCAATGTGCAATCTCTGTATGAGTTTAAAGAGAAGAAAATAGAATGTGTGTGTTAGAGCAGAGGAATGTGAGGAGTGTGTGATTTCTGGACTGGTATGTGTGGAATGACTAAGTTAGCAGCTAATAGCTGATGCTTCATCACCCATTAACCCCTTTTCACCTGAATTGCAGAAAGATGAACAAGCAGTGCAGCATTCCACTATTATGTATGACGTCACTCCCTCTCTGTTTCTCTCTCATCTATCATCACCAGGGTTCTTGCCAGGTACCTGTGTCAGTATACCTAGCTGTCAGCACACTGTGCCTGTGTCAGCCTGTTTATATTTCTATATATATTCATATTTGTAACTCACAGGGATAGGAAAAACCTTGCATAGTGATAATCACGATAAGTAATAATAAGTCTGAACAACTAAATTTATCAAGACGCTGAGTTTTTTTTTGTGTGCCTGTGTTTTCGAGTATTAGAAATGAATCGTGAAAACTTAAGTATTTTGGATAAATCATACATAACAAGTATCCACACTAACATGCCAAGTAAGTGGTATATCAACATAGGGCTGGGCGTTATGGCCTAACATTTAAATCACAGTATAATTTTGAAGCATGGACGGTAATGGTATATATCACATTAATATAAATGCTCCTGAAGTAGGTAGAGCACTGGTATGGCAAATGCGTGGCATAATTTCAAACATTCCAAAGTCAATGTAAACTGTCAAATATTCTAAACATTATCTTTTTGCTTTGTTATTGTCATCTATAGTGGATATTAACAGAAAACACGTTCAAATTAATAGAAAATAAATGAGCGTGTTTTTATTTAAATACTAAATAATTTAAATACTTCTGTTAACAAAAAAAATCTTGTCATAAATAGTTTTCATTATGTAATATACGCTAAAGTTACACCGGTCATAATTCCCTCTCTCTTATATATATATGTCTTCCTGGGGAATCCTAAGGCATTTCTAATTCCCATATCCACATTCCGCTCACTTGCAACTTAATCACTCTCATTGTAGACATGAGGAGAGAGGAATTGAGGAAATGTCAGATTCTGATTAGCATTTGCTCCCTACATGCACTGTCCAAATAACAGTAAGGGGACACAATGAGCCATTGTCAGCACAGCAGAGTTTTTTTCTTTCATTTTTTGTCTCTCTGGAGGTTACCTCTTAAAATAAGCAGTTTGACAATCCTCTGAACATTAAAATAACCTGCAGTCTGTGTTTAGACTGTGTACATTTTAGTGATCAGACACTGAAACGTGAATCCGAACTACACTACACAGATCCACTATTCTTTAAAAGATGGTGAATCAGAAAACAAGAGAAAACTCAAACTTGGAAGTAGGCCTAGTATTCATCAATAACTGATCTGTTCCGATAGTTCCATTCCATTCCATTATCCAAACCGCTTATCCTATTCAGGGTCGCGGGGCGCTGGAGCCGATCCCAGCTGACATCGGGCGAATCCAGGGTACACCCTGGAGAGGTCGCCAGTTTATCGCAGGGCACATATAGAGACAGACAAACATTCACGCTCACATTCACACCTACGGGCAATTTTGAGTCTCCAAATAACCTAAGCTGCATGTCTTTGGACTGTGGGAGGAAGCCGGAGATCCTGGGGGGAACCCACGCTGCTGCGGGGAGAACGTGCAAACTCCACACAGAAGGACCACCCGGATCGGGGATCGAACCCAGGCCCCTCTTGCTGTAGGCAGTCAGATCAGGCAAACAAATCAGGCAGGGATGAGGCAAAAACTTGGTCAAGAAGAAACAGGCAGAGAAATCCACAGAGGACAGGGGAACAAAGGGTTTAAATACACTAGGGAGGTGTAGGTGATTAGACACAGGTGGATTCAATCAGGGGCGGGTAGACAAACACAGTGGCGGGAAAACACACAAAGGCAGGAAGTGAAGTGATCTAAAACGAGTGGAGAGGTGAGAAACACAAAATGAAACAGGAAATACTGAAATGACAAAAATAAAGAAACTTAACTACGAAACAGGACGAGACATGACAAACGCAGGTGCTGCAAAGAAAAATGGGTAGCAGTTTATAATAACTACACACTATGGAGCATTAGTTAAGTATGAGTAAACACTTAATTCATCATTTATAAAGCATTGTTCCTACATTAATAATTCATTAGTATGCAGTTCATAACAACAGTTATAAATGTTTCATTCTTGATTAATAAGCCCGTCTATTATGTGCTTCATTATTGTGTTTTCATACTTTATAAATGATGGATTCCCCATTTGTAAATGAAGTATTATATATTTTACAAACCAATTATTAAGGAGTTGTAGATGATTAATAAGATCATTTATAAAGTGTTAGTAAATGATTAATAACTTATTTAGATGTACATTATTCATGCATTAATATATATAATGGTTAGGGACTATGTTAATCATGTTAATTCATGATTAATTCATGATTTATTAAGGTAGTTACTACTCGTTAGTAAAGTGTTTTATGTGACCTCATCTAAAGTGAGGACTATTTATGCCTTATAAAGCATTTATTACGTATTTTGTGTGACCTCATCTAAAGTGAGGACTAT